TGGGATGCTGGCTACCGGACAGGAGCTCCGGAGGCAAGAGTTTAGAATGTCCATTCTCAGGAACTCGTTGGGTATAAAACAAGATATAAGCTTGGGCTTTGCATACTTCATCCATAGTGCACATGCTTAGCTTGGAATCATTGCAGTGTACCCAGAACCCTAGAGCAAAGCACAGAAATATGTTTATAAGGGAACTTTAGAAATCTTTAGTACAATATGTGTTTGTCAGAGTTAAGCTTTTTCTGGAGGGAAAATAATTTTCTAGCCAATTTTTCTTTTCTTCAGTGAGAAATATGGCTTGGCTGTATGTTACCCTAGAATTATCTACCTTTATTCTAGAAGTTTGAAATTACAGAATCTGCTTAGAGTACCTGACACTATTCCCGCTCGAAACCTACCATTGAATGTTTTTGCCACTAATCATACAGGTTGATCATCTCTAATCCAAAAATCCAAAATACTTGAAAAGCCAAAACTTTGACATAACACCACAAGTAACCCTGAATGCTATTTTTTTCACTATATTTACGGTATGTCATATTTTTTACTGTTAAATACTTATGGGTATGTAAGTATAATAAGGTGATTGCTTTTTGGTAGATAAAAAATTCAGAGTTAGGAATGATGGTCATGCCAAACCACCACAGACTGTCTACATAGGGGGCTGAGATAGTGACACCTTTGCTTTCTGATAGCTCCATGTACACTAACTTTCAAGCACAAAATTGTTAATATTCTATAACTTGGGAGGCTGAGGTGGGAGGATTGCTTGAGCACAGGAGTTCAAGGCTGCAGTGAGCCATGATCACGCCACTGCACTCCAGCCTGGATGACAGAGCCAGCCAGACCTTGTCTCTTAGAAAAAAAATTATATAAAATCCAAAACACTTCTGGTCCCAAGCATTTTGGATAAGGGATATTCAACCAGTATTATAGAGTGAATAGTGTACAACTAACTCTTGGTAGTTTAATGTTGAATTAATTGCCTTAGTAGATTATCTGGGCTTTTTGTCTACATCTCTATTCTGTTTGTTGGGGGTACTGGTGGTTCATTCGTTGTTCAACTATAGGTACCAAAAGGGAAAGTAAAAAGTGAAACCTCAATCCAATTACCTTTCTTAGGACTACACTGTCCTGGAAGGGTCCATGGAGGCAGCAAATGAAAATGAGTTTTGTATGTTAAACTTGAACTGAATGTTTGTTACAAATATCTGAACCCCCAAGTTGATTAAGATGCCCTATTCTTTAACAAAATTAACTGAAATAAACCAGTAAACATAAGACCTCTTCTTGGAAGTGTGCCTCTAAGAAAAGATAATACTCTCTGAGTTTTAATTAACAAGACCATCTACATTGGCCGGGCATGGTGGCTCAAGCCTATAATCCTAGCACTCTGGGAGGCCGAGGCGGGCGGATTGTTTGAGCTCAGGAGTTCAAACCAGTCTGAGTAAAAGCGAGACCCCGTCTCTACTAAAAATAGAAAGAAATTGGCCAAACAACTAAAATAGAAAAAATAAAAATTAGCCAGGC